CGTACAGTTTGAACATTGGAGACTCATCGGTACTGTTAGATGATTTGTGTGTCGTTTGTTGGGGGTTTAATTTGTTGATCATAATATTGTCTTGATCTCTGAGGGAGAGTTTGTTTATGTTGATCATGGTAGCTGGGAATTGCTTGGAGAGGGAGATCATGGCTTGTTTTTGCTCGGACTTACTGGAGCTTGGAGGCTTGCTTGGAATCTCACGTGCCACCGGCATAAGGTTGATGGTGATGGAGATAATGATGATGATGATAGTACGAAGATTTGGGATTTTAGCGTGGCCATTAGTTTTTCATTTTCTTCCTTTGAATCTTCAGTCTATTTCTTCGATTAATTTCGTTTGAAGGTGTGTTTGGTTATTTTGTTTGGGGGTTTGTGTTGTGCGGAAAGGTTTATAATAGAGGAGGAGGGAGGGGATGTGGGATTTGAAGCAGTAATGCATGAATGTAGTTGAGATAATTATGGGTTTTGAATGTGATAATATTGTTGACCGACTTGGTTTTTTTGTTTGAAACTGGAATGTTATTAGTTATGAAGATGTGAAAAGGTCTATCACTTGACTCGGTGAAAATAAAATTTAAATATTGTTAATATAAAAATTCATTTGATTTACGTAGTCTATATATGATGTGGAAATTTCCAAAAGAGCAAGTTTTGTGTTGTACATGTGAAATATAGTTGATTAACTATTACCCTTTAGTTGTTCCATATAAAGTATAATGGCCAAGACCGACTACAACGGCAACATCTTCAAGCTTACTTGATATTTTACATTATATAATCTTATTCAAAAGTTAATAATTACTCAATTATATTTAAGGAGGACTAGGTAAATGTTATAACAGTCAGTCAACTATAGTTTACATATATTAGGTAAAACATAACAGTTAATCTATAAAACTTAACATTCAAAAGAATAACGATAACAGTTACTCAATTATACTTATATGGAACAACTAAACATTAACAGTTAATCGGCTATAGTTCACATGTAATAGGTAAAACTTAACATTTAATTAACAAAACTTAACATTTAAAAGAAAAAAGTTAACACTTACTCCACTATACTTAACATGGAACATGTAAACGTTAATAGTTAATTTGCTATAGTTCACTTGTATTAGGTAAAACTTAATAATTAATCTACTGAATATTTATACATCCATTATTTTAAATTAACTGTTAAAGTGTACGTATTCTACGTTAAGTATAGTAGAGTTTGTGTTAACTTTTTCCTTTAAAATGTTAAGTTTTGTTAATTAACTGTTAAATTTTACTGCTACATGTGAACTATAGTCGATTAACTGTTAATGTTTAGTTGTTCCATATATGTATAATTGAGTAACTGTTATCTTTATTCCTTTAAATGTTAAGTTTTGTATTGTACATGTGAAATATAACTAATTAGCTATTAATACCACAAAAATTAACATTTAAATGTTAAGTATAATTGAGTATTAATTGTTAATGAGTTATTCCACATGTACAATACAAAAGTTAACATTTAAAAGAATAAAGATAACAGTTACTCAATTATACTTATATGGAACAACTAAACATTAACAATTAATCGATTATAGTTCACATGTAGTCGGTAAAACTTGACATTTAATTAATAAAACTTAACATTTAAAAGGAAAAAGTTAATACTTACTCCACTGTACTTACCATGGAACATGTAAAATTTAACAGTTAATTTGCTATAGTTCACTTGTATTAGGTAAAACTTAATAATTAATCTACTGAATATTTATACATTCATTATTTTACATTAACTATTAACGTTACCTATTCTATGTTAAGTATAGTGGAGTTTGTGTTAAAGTTTTCCTTTAAAATATTAAAATTTGTTAATTAGCTGTTAAGTTTTACCGACTCATGTGAACTATATATAGCCAATTAACTGTTAATGTTTAGTTGTTCCATATAGGTATAATTGAGTAACTATTATTTTTATTCTTTTAAATGTTAAGTTTTGTATTGTACATGTGAAATATAACTAATTAACTATTAATCCATTTATACAACATGTTGTGACAGTATATTTGCACTATAATTCATTTTGCATTTTACTTTAAAGAAACATAGTTAACATATTAATGTGACAGTAAATTTATACAATATTTATATATCACACCCTGGTTATAGTTCATATATATATATAAGAATTTCAGGTCATATACACATTAAATGATAATAGTTAACAGATAATGGATTATAGCTAACAGTTTATAAGTAACAGTTAACAAATTATAGTTAATAGTTATAGATAGCAATTAACAGATAATGATTAATAGTTAATAGGATAAGGGTGTTAGTTAACAGATTACAAATAACAGGTAACAGATAATGGATTATAGTACACAGTTTACTAAATATAGTTAACAATTTACCAAATATAGTTATCAATTTACCAATTAAGGTTAACATGTTAACATGTTAAATGAGAACGTTCACACATAAGCGTGAACTTGACAGGATTTAGGGATCTGTTCATCAACTTTATTTTCCTTTGTATTTGCTTTAACATGCGTATTGATGTGTGAAACATATCAAAGCACGCATATGAGAGACCATCTTTATGGGCATCATGTGTCAACACGCGTTCGAAAATAAATTCAAGAGATAAAAAAAGGTAATAGGAGCTTTTTGCACCAAAACCATCTAACAGAAAATTGTTGGGGTGCATAGGTGCTGATCAATCTCATACTTGAGCTAAACGGATGCAATACATTCCAATTCGACGTCAGTACAAATAACTAACGAAGATAGGGATCTCTATTTGGCAATTTGCAAACAAACAACATCACAACGGAAGCAATTGCGACAAGTGACATCCAAGAGAGCCTAGCTCATGCTGCACTAAGTTACACCACAGCCACATGTAACATTACAAAAACTATAAAGCAGATAGAAACATATTTCAACACTCGAACAAGGGTACAAAGGTTAATGCACAAATCAACCCAAGAGAATATTTATAGCCAAGGATTAGATGAAAATTTTGTATCAATGGACATTGAACTCTACATAAAACCAAAAGCACCAGAATGTTAAAATGCCACAAACGCTCAACCAAGGCTACAAATCTCAAATACACATCAACCTAAGAGAATGTTTTTAGCCAAAGGATCAGAAGAAAACTTATGTTTTAATACTCAGACAACTCTACATGGAATAAAAGCACCACAATATTAGAAAAACCATAACTTAAAGCTAACCGTCAGATCCGAGTCCAAAACCTCCCGAATCAGCGAAAAGCACACATCAAACTCCCCAATTGCCCGCAAGCCTTCATTAACACAATGAAAGCTACAGAGTCGAGTTCGATGGTTAGTTGGAGCATTTTGTCGAATAGCTTGAGGGCGGAGCGGGGATTGGATTGGGAAAGAAGGAGAGTCCACAGGAGGGGGTTGCGGGGGTCGCTAGATTGGGAGAGGAGGGTGGGGCTCTTGGTGGGGCCGTAGGAGAGGGCGAGGGAGGAGAAGAGAGGTGGGGGTTTGAGAGGAGGTTGAGCTTGAGAGCGAGTGAGTGGATTTGTGAGCGGAAGGGAGGGGAGGAGAGGGGGGAGGTTGAGGAGAGGATGAGGGAGAGTGCGCGGGGTCGGGGAGTTCGCCGGAGAGGAGGGTTTGAAGGGGGTTGGAGGGAGCTTCATTTGAAGGTTTTGTTTGGGGTTTTAATAGGGGTTTGCTGGGGCTTTGAGTTTTTGGGTTTCTGGCATTTGGGGGCTTGAGGGGGCTGAGATTAGAGGGAAGAGGATTGAAGAAGAAGTGGGGAGGGGTAAAGTTGGGATTATGGGTAAAAAAACAAATAATGTTGGGCTAATTATGAGCTGGAGGGGTTGGGACACAATTTTTTCAAAATTTGAGGGCTACAGCACATTACAAATAGTATGAGGAACTGAGGCACATAGCTTTTTGGGTTTTGAGGCCTTGAAGCAATTTTTCCTAAGAAAAATTACATATTAACGTCTTTATTCTCTCTGCTCTTAGATGCTGTGGAACACGTGTCATCCTTCTACTGGTAGGACCGCCAAGGTGAAAACTTGTGAAGAGCAATTGGTTACTTTGACAAATTTGATTCTAGGCCAACACATATTCTACTCATAACGGAGCCTTCCTTTAGGAGAAAAACCAACAGTCTTACTGCTCAAGTGATATAATAAAGCACAGATCAAAATCCCAGTGATATGATTCGTACACTCCCTCCTTTATTTCAACGATAGTAGACAATAACGTTCAGTGAGCCTGAACGAATGCTACTTACTGAAAAGCAGCTACTTATTGAAAAGCGCTAGGACAGTCAGAGATATAAGCGAACAACTACATTGGTATATTATTTGGAGCGTTCTGCTCTGGTGTAACTGCCTGAAAACTTTCATAATTTGCATCTTGACAAACATTTATTCCACTTATAATGGAGAACTAGATTATATGTAGCATGATATCAAAGTAAGGTCTCTTAGATAACCGGAAACTTCGCACTAAAAGCATACTAGCCAAGCATGTGTCATAGAACTAAAAATAACCGGCTTCAGAGGCTTGCATGCTCCTAGCACCTAAAAATAACCATAGAACTAAACATAACCAGATTCAGGGGCCTTCCTGAATGTCACACATAAAAGAACCATTGGAAGGCCTGACTCAAGGATCTCGAGAAAAGTAGGATTGTGATGGGCTTCAGGTTAAACATCACGCTAAGGCCGTTGTAAAATAATGAATACAATGAATTGCGCAGACATAAAACAGCAGTGGCTAAAGAAAGCTCCCCCGAAAGCATAGGGAGAGAGAGAGGAGGGGGCTGCAAAAAAAAAAAAAAAAAAAAAAAATCTGCAAAAAAAAAAAAAAAAAAACAAACACTCGCATGGTAATATTTAAATGGGAATAATCAGAAACAAAACACCACTACACGCTTCAAGGTTCACTTGATGAAATTTGAACGAACGCAACCCAAACAATAATCTGAGTCGGTGTCGTGTGGTCTTGGCCTCGTGAACAAAAATACAACAAATGGAAGATATTTTGAGCGTTACTTGTTCAGTTCTTACACTTTCTGATACATTTTTCTTTGCTCCAAAAAGAAAAATTGGGAAAAAAACACATTCATATACTTAATAAGCTACCCTATGCTGGAAGCTTAGCAGCTTCAAATAATAATAGTGATCTATACTTTATTGGGGGAAGGAGGTCAGAGTAGATCCCGATTTCTTCCTCCTATATGATACAAATGACATACCTCTTTGCAAGGATATACAGGGCCGGAATCAATGGGGTTATAATATATATCTATTTTACATCTACATAATGAAGGAAAAATAAATAAATAAAACACAAAATATGACTTTACATGTGTGCTTGTACATCAATACTCAATTGCTTGCCTCGATCCTTTCTATTGTCTCCAACCTAGTCTTCCTTTTCCAACCCTTCATGGTGGCTAATAAAGTGAACTAAATCTACAATTTGGCTTTTGTATACTTTCTGTGGAACGAAACACAAAACGATTCCTGAAATATTGGAATAATTGAAAGTACAGTTATAAACCCTTCATCGAAAAGGATTTGGCTGGCTTACTGGATGAGACCGTGCCCAGTGCACGTACTCCGTCTCTGGAAGATAAAAGGCCTATTAACACACAAAAATTGCGATTCAGTGATATGAAGACAATACCATACAATGCTTAACATCTTACTTCTACATACATAGTATATGGATGCAACGCCAATTATAGCAATGTTGAACATTTATTCATCCATCTGCTTAATTACATTCTAGCAAGAATGACTAGAATCTCACGCACACACATACAAATGCAAAGAAAAATTAGTACACTAGTTAACAAGGACGAAGTTTGGTCCTTGGTAGTGAGGTGACCACATATCAATCACTCAACTAAAGATTGTGAAATAGAACAGAAATTTATCACTTCCCATCCAACTTATCTGTTTAAATGAGTGCTTGAGATGTGGCCACCTCACCACCAAGGACCAACCTTATCCTTGGTGCCAAGGGTACCCATTTTTCTCATATATGTCTTCCTATCTATGTGTGTGTGCGTGTGTTTTT